TCCAAATTGTATACGTGGATGACCTCATAAACGAAGACATCAAAAACATTTACATTTATAATTTAGTTGGGGTTCTTCACAATTGAAGTTTTAATAAAATAGAAACTTTACAAATGATGATAACATAAATATTTCACAATTTCATAAAAATATCATAGACTTTTTTTTTGGTTTTTTGTCGTAAATATCATAGACTTTATACATTGAAGTTTTAATAAAATAGAAACTTTGCAAATGATGATAACATAAATATTTGTTGTCTACTAAAATCAACTCAAGCCGACGCAGCCGAAAGCTGTAGAAGTCCATATCTCATCTACTCGATTTCTGAATCGCGGAGCGAACCTGGCGATTCAGAATCTTACTTTCGATTTTTCTCCATCAATCCAACTCCGTTCCCTTCCCATAAAGTTGTTTACTTTACCTTCCGATCCTCTCTCTCCCTATAAAGCAGGAACCTTTTTTTACCATTGAGACCTAAACCCTACTTTGTCACAGCGAGAAAGGGGAAGGTTGAGCTTTCGTCTGATTCTTCTCAAAATCTCAAGCCGAGGGGGAAAAGGAGAGGTTTTTCTTTGTGGGTATTTCACCGATCATGGATTCAGAGGATGACATGCTCGATGCACACGAAATGGAATCGGTAGATGATGATTTCTACAGCGGCGGGACTGATGATTACAACGACAGCGATGAGGATGAACCAGATTACGGGTTCGTTGAAGAAGATGTTGATGATTCCACCATGATCGCTTCGCATCGCTCTAAGGTGAGGTTTTTTTATTACGAGATTGACATTCTTCTTCGATTTCTTACTCTGCGCTGTTGTAGCTTGAATTGGATTTTATTGTCTTTAGAACTTGTTTATGTGTGTCTTGTTTTCGGAGCCGGCAAATGTTGGAAGGTGACTTTTTTTTGTTAGTATAATGGGTTTAGGGCTCTTTGTTGATTACCTAATTTTGATAGTAAGCAACTAATGTTGGTAAAGTTTGGAATCTGTTGCTCTTTTTGAGATTACTTTTAGTCTTTAGCAGTTCGGTTTTCCCATTTGTTCCGGCTATAATGGGAAATGCCTAGTCTTCTAAGTGAGGGAAAGGTGGATTAAGACAAATTTAGTTTTCTAGATGCAATAGCGTCGCTAGAGTTTGTTGTCTTAGTGTAGTAGCTTGATGGAAATGCAGTGATTGGTGAACTTTTTATGTACTCTTTTTGTCTATCCTGGTTCCAAGCTCCTTGTTTAATTGTTCGTGTTTCCAGTAATAAAGGATTTTTGCAAAAGCACAACTGCGATCATGAAAATTGTTATTTCTCTTGAAAATTGGGTTTCGTATTGTGTTTATGGTTCCTTATTCCACTCCTTGGCTATAGCTGTTATGTCTTTTCCCAAACTACAAACTTAACTACTTGTTTGGCTTACTTTCTTATATCTAATTGTGGAGTTATGGCATGGCTGATAGTTTTCTATCTGTTTATTTCACATTTGCTCTTATTTTACTGTGACTTTGACTCATTTTTGTTGTAATGGTGCATGCTTCCAGATAAATTATGCTGTTCTCAAGGAAGAAGATATTCGCAGGCATCAGAAGGAGGATATGGGACGAGTTTCTATGGTCCTCTCCATAAGCGAGGTTGAAGCGAGCATTTTGCTTCTTCACTATCACTGGTAAATTCCCTTGTCATTTACCTTGTGATTTTGTTATTAATCTCGCTGTTTCCCATGTTTTCGGTTATATATATATATCTGGGACAATTTTTTATCTTCAGATTGTTTGAAAACGACTTTTCTTTTCCTTCAGATTGTTTTGATCTGCTACATTAAATGGACTCTATAGGTTCTTTGAGAACATTTGTCGATGTCCATACTTGTGGGCTTTCGTTAGTTTCCTAATGCTCTGAGAATTGTGTCATTTTAGGAGTGTTAGTAAAGTTCATGATGAATGGTTTGCGGATGAGGAGAGAGTTCGGAGAACTGTTGGCATATTGGAGGGACCTGTTGTTCCGACACCTGATGGTGGAGAAGTAATTCCTTTCTACTTTGAATTCTTTCCCTATATTTCTCACTTGGTAATTCATTTTTCACTGACTCATTATTTGATGTTTAGCTTACTTGTGGAATATGCTTTGAATCGTTTCCTCCTGAGGATATAGTGTCGGTTTCTTGTGGTCATCCTTTCTGCCCTACATGCTGGACAGGTATGCTGTATTTTTTATTTTCCTTACATCTATAGCTTTTCAGAAACGGGGACGATTTGTAATTTCTCTTGGATTTGTCTGAGTTTATATTTAATTAGCATTTCGGTTATACAGTTTCAAAGAAATTTGCCTACGACTTCAATTGTTAAGCTTAGTTTCTTCCATGCCGCATGGAATTAAG